TAATGTATAGTGGAGTAAGGCTTTCAGGAATGTCATTTGCTGCTGGGACATAACTCAAAATGAGGAGAAACAGCTGTAAACATCCATTAATAATCAAAACATGGAATGTATGAAGTATGAATTTAGGAAATTTGGAAATTGTCAAAAATGAAATGAAACTCATAAATATTAATATCCTAGGCATTTGAGCTTAAATGGAACTGGTATTGGCCATTTTGAATCTGATAATCACATGGTTACTATGCCAGGAATGGCAAATCAAAGAGGAATGGTATCACATTCATCATCAAAAAGAACTTTTTAATATCTATCTTGAAGTACAATGCTATCTGTGCTAGGATAATATCCTTACACCTACAAAAAAGACCAATTATTATCACTATTCTTCAAATTTATGCCCCAACCACTAAATGTTGGCAGGGATGATGAAATTGAAGAATTCTATAGCACAGGATAATGCACTGGACCACAAGGTCAATTTTAGCTGCAATGTCGGCAGTTCAAACCTACCAGCTGCTCCTTGGAAACCCTATACAGGGTCACTATGAGTCTGAACCAATTTGACAGCACTTAACAACAACAATAACAACAATTTCTTCAGTGTGAAATTGATCAAATATGCAATAAAGATGTATTGATATTTACTGGCTACTAGAATGCAGATTGGAAACAAACGAGGAAGGCTCAGTAGTTGGAAAATATGGCCTTGGTGATAGGAATGATGCTAGAGATCACATGATAGAATTTTGCAAGACCAATGACTTCTTCATTGCAAATGCCTGGTTTAAACAACATTAAAGAAGACTATATACATAGACCTCACCAAATAGAATGCACAGAAATCAAACTGACTACATCTGCGGCAAGAGACGGTGGAAAAAATTCCATATCATCAGTCAAAACAAGGCCAGGGGCAGACTGTGGAACAGACCAGCAATTGCTCATATTCAGTTTAGGCTGAAACTGAAGAAAATTGAAACAAGTCAAGAGAACGCTCACTCATCTATGCCAAAAAATTTGGAAGATAGCTACCTGGCAACTGATTGGAAATGATCCATATTTGGGCTCATTTCAAAGAGAGGTAACTCAACAAAATGTGGAAATCACTGAACAATACTATTAATATCACATGCAAGGGGCTTAAAATCTGGAAAGGTATGTGCCAGCATTGTATTCTTCACCACACTTATTCAATCTGTGTGCTGAGCCAATAACCCAAGAAACTGGATTATATGAAGAA